TGGTTAGAATCAGTGTCAGTTCCCTCTCAAAGGCTTCTAGATGGGGGAGAAAACAAATTTAGCCATCATTTTAGAATACTTGGTTGTCTCCCTTAGCTACAGGTGGGAGCTACAGTATTGGAGACCACGATTTGAAGTCTTACATCTGAGCAGCTCTTTCTGATTAGGAACAAAATCACTTATGAGAAATAATTGTCTAAATAACTTTTTATACAGACTTAAGCCTAATGTCTGGGAAGTGTAATCCCTTGAACTGTTACAGAAGTATACTGATGACTTTATTCTTTGGTTATACTTTCCTTTTGGGTGTTTAAGACCATACAGTTGGCCCAAATAAATCAATTTATATTTACATTTAAGGTCATTTGAGGATTTGTTGTTCCTCAGGGATCACATGGGCTTGGGAGGAGCCCCTGGTTCCCTCCTTTTACCAGTTCCATCTATGTGAAGATAAGTCAAAGGTCCTGCTCAACCATGTCTGGCTTCACTTGGAAGCATGAATGAGATGTTTCCTCTAAGTTGACCCTCCTCTTTGTAGACTGGACACAGTTCAAGTCAATCTCGTGGGGTCCCCTAAACAAGAGGACAGGTGACTCACTACATTTACAGGACATTTTAAGAGATGTTCCATAGTCCCCTGGAACTTGGTTGACCTTGGAGGGCAAGGGACAAAAACTGTCCTTTAAGTCCCTCTGACCACATTAGTATAGGCCTTAAAGTATGGCTGTTAAACATCCAATAAGGTTAGTTCCACCAGTCTGGTACTTTTAATTATCATGTGCTATGTAGATAAGGCTTGGGTAAAGAACCAAATATTCTCAGATAAACATTGACTAGATTTATATTTTGTTCCTTAAACTAGTTGACTAAACTATGACTATAGAAAATTTAAGATTATGTGTATATTATTTTTGTCTCATCCTTTATATATCATAACAAACCTAAACAGACCTTCATCACTTGCTTAGGCTTTCTCATTTTTTCTATTTTGGAAAATAGCTCCATTCTCATATCCTTTTAATATCTTTTACATTCTCATTTTCTTTTTTCTCTCTTTTTTTAAAAAAATAATTATGAGACATAATAGCATTAACAAATAAATTTTCCTTCGGCTGTGAAACTTCTTTTCCTGGGGATGCTAAGCAAAGCTTATTCCCTTTAAGGTTCTAATGTCAAACCAATGTTTCATTAAAGTTTTACTGGGGAACTAATGAATTTATTGAGCTTATTTACCAGGATAACTGAGGGGTTGCTGAGGTATATGTATGACCTGAGGGTACGCACACTGGATAGCCTTTACCCAGCATGGGTCATGCCTTCTCTTCCTAGCCTTCCCTAGATTGTATACTTTTGCCCTCCCCAAATCCAGGAGGCCGTGTGTGATTAGGGTCAAGTTACATACAGTTGGCTGGGAAGTGTGGCTGGGTACTCCAGTAAGGGTCCAGTGACACTGCTTGGCCCTTCTTTAATGAATGAGCACAACCATCAACAAACCCAATTGTGATGATATTTAGTGATCAGGCTCAGCTGAAGTCTTGAAGATGGTAGTTATTTCATGCAGAAGGGACTGCTGTATAGCATCATCTTATTAAAAGGACCTGGAATTTAAAAGGATTTGGTGCTAGGACCCACATATGAGGGAGAACATATGTCATTTGTTTTTCTGAGTCTGTGTTACTTCACTTATTATAACAGTTTCTAGATCCATCTTTTTACCTGCAAATTTCATTATTTTCATCGTTTCATCTTTCTTTACTGCTGAATAGAACTCTATTGTATAAATATACCACATTTTTGTTAACCCCTCCTCAGCTGATGGGCACGTGGATGGCTTCCGTCTCTTAGCTATTGTGAAAAAAGCAGCAACAAACATGGTTGTACAAGTGTCTTTACAATAGGATGAGCCCTTTGGGTATGTGCCAAGGAATGGGATCACCAGGTCATATGGTAGGTTCATTTTTAGGTTATTTTTTGTCTTTTTTTTTTTTCAGACAGGGTCTCCCTGTAGCCCCAGCTGTCCTGGAACTCACTATGTAGACCAGGCTGGCCTCGAACTCACAAAGATCCTCCTGCCTCTGCCTCCCAAGTGCTGGGATTAAAGACATGTGCCACCACACCTGGCCATTTTTAGTTTTTTAAGAGTTCTCCACACTGTTTTCCATAGAGGTTGCATGAGTTTGCAATCCCACCAGCAGTGAATCAGTGTTCCCGTTTCGTACATCCTTGCCAGCATCTGGTATCATTTGTTCTCCTGATCCTAGCCAGTCTGATTGCAGTAAGGTGATACCTTAGGGTGGTTTTAATTTGCATTTCCATAATTACTAATGATGTTGAACACTTTTTGAGATGTTTCTTAGACATCTTTATTTCTTCCTTTGAGAACTCTCTGTTTAGATCTTTAGCCCATCTTTTAATTGGGTTATTTGGTTTCTCACTTCTTTGTTTTTGAGTTCTATAATGTCAAACCTCTGTCAGATGTATCACTGGTGAAGATTTTTTCCCATTCTGTGGGTTTTGTATTCACTTTTTTGATTGTTTCTTTTGCTGTACAAGCCTTTTAGTTTAATGAGGTCCCACTTATTGATTGCTGACCTTAATTCCTGAGCAATTTCTGATTTAGAAAATCCTTTCCTACACCTATGTCTTGTAAGTTACTGCCAATATTTTCTCCTAATAGTTTCAGGGTTTCCAGTTTCACATTGAGGTCTTTGTTCCATTTGGAGTTGACTTTTGATACACACTGTTCTTTCAGAGTATTAATCTAAAATTCATATTCTCTATCTAAAAATGTTTAATCGGAATAAAAAATGGTCATTGTAGTAATAATAACTCATAATCTTAGAGGTGTTTAAAATATACACAGTAAGTTAAATTTTGATTTGCCTTTTATTTTTATGAGCATGAGTGTTTTGTGTGTATGTAAGTGCACCTGTGTTGTACAGTGCCCTCAGAGGCCAGAAGAGGGCATCAGATCCCCTGGAACTGAAATTAGAGGTGATTGATAGCTGCCAGGTAGGTGCTGGGAACTAAACCTCAGTCATCTGCAAGAGCAGCCAGTGCTCTCAACCACATCTCTCCAACCCCGGTGATTTCTTAAATGCATATTTTTATTGAATTTTTGTGCATTTCATATGGAACATCTTAATCATCTTTATACCTCCTCCCCCATCTGCAACCCCATGTAGCCCCCTCACTGGATTTCATGCATTCTGCCATATATATTAAGGCCTATCAAATTAAGTTAGTATTCCCAGATGTTCCTCAGTGCAAGTTCATCCACTGGGGTCAAGTCAGTCTAGTCAGTCTCTCCCTTAAAGAAGATCAGCTCTCCCTCACCCTGCAGTAATCAGCTGCCAGTAGTTCTGCTAAGGTTGGGGCCTGTTGCCTATTTCCCCAGTTCTATGCTGGGTTTTTATCTGCTTGAGTTTGCATGGGTCTTGTGCATGCTGACACCATTGCTATAGGTCCATATGAGCAAGGTCCCGGGAGCCTGTAAGGCTCTGTTTCATGTACCTCCTCCCCTGGTTCTTATGATCTTTCCACCGCCCCCTCCTCCACTTCCACAATGGTCCCTGAGCCCTGAGTGGGTAAAGTTTAATATAGCAGTCCTGTCCAGGGACCCACACTCTGCAGACTCTTATTCTCTATGCTTTGACTGTTTGTGACCTTCTGTGTACATTGCCTTCTATTGCATGAGGGAGCTTCATTGATGAGAGTTGAGAGATGCATTAGTGTAGATGCATTAGGAGATGCATTAGGGTGTAGTGGCTATGTTCTCAGCAGACTGCCAGAGAGTGCCTGTTCTGGCCTCCCTCTGGCATAGGGGCAGAGAATGCAGGGGATTGCCTGAGAGTGCCTGGATCTTGCCTCCATGTGGTGATATTAGTTATGCAATTTGGGAGACCCACTGAAGGGGTACCCCAATTGCCTCACCCTGCATCTCTGTTCAGTGTGGAAGAAGCCAGAGTGGTCTGTGTCCTGATTTCCTATCTGAAAGAGGGTGGTGTGGTAAGAATAGGAGGTAGGAATTGGCTGGGCTGTTAGGATAAAAAGACCCAAAGAATAGTAGCCACTTTTATTGGATAAAAGTCAAAATGTCCTTGGGCCTCTTAGCAACATACTCTGTTCCAAAGGCGAAAATTGTCGAAAGTATTTGGGAGCTCTTATCTAATCCTTAAAAGATTTTAGGGTTACCTCTTCAAAGGGGCAAATGTTAGAGTAGCCAAAAGCCCCATATTAGAGGAAAAGGAGGAGGAGGAGGAGGAGGAGGAGGAGGAGGAAGGAGGAGGAGGAGAAGAAGAAAGAGTACATGAAATTATCAGAAAAAAGTGATGAGGAGCTATGGGAGGAGTTGGAGGGGAGGGAGTGGGCATGGATTTGATCAAAATACCTTATATGCATGTATGAAATTCTCAATAAATTATTTAAAAAAGAGATGCATTAGGTGTAGAGGTTCCATTGTAGACATGTCAATTGGGCATGTCTACAGGAGACTTTTTGGCTTCCCATGTGGAGCTCTGTAATAGTCTCTGTTACAAAAGAAGCTTTTTTAACGAGTGGTGACTGGCATAGTTGTCTGTAAATATAAGGATCCATATTTAGCATAAAGTAAGAAATTACATTTGTCTAGGGATGTGATAGTCTTGGGGTTTTTCTCTAGGATCTGTGACCTCTCTAGCTATGTGTATTTGGCTATGTTTACAGTACCACACATGAGCCCCCCCCCCCCATTGAGTGGGCTTTACATTCAGTTAGGTAGCTGTTGATTACCCCCAAGATGAAAGTTCCACTTCTGTACCACTATAGTTTGCTGTGCTGGTCATTTTTATGGTTTATTAGACTTTAAAGCTGGGGTTAGACCATCACTGACGTTCTCCCCTAGCAGCTTTCATAGTGTCCTCCGAAACTAGGAAGGCCAGCCTTCACACACAGTGATTTTATATGTACTTGTATTAATTTATTTTTTCACTGCTATAATACCTGACAAAAAATAACTTAAGGGAGGAAGGGTCTATTGTGGCTCACAGTTTGTGGGTGTAGTCCATCATGTGGGGAAGATGGCAGCTGGAGAGTGAGGCACATGATTACATTTAGTCCCTGGTCAGAAAGCAGAGAGTGATGAATGCTTAGCTCATTTTTCCCTTTTTATTCAGCCCAGGACCCCAGCCCATGAGCTAGGGCTACTCACGTTCCTAATGGGTCTTCTCTCCTTAGTTAAACCTCTCTGGAAACATCCTCACAGACATGCCCAGATGGGTGTGTCCTAGCCAGTTCCAAATCCTTGTCAAGTTGGCAAGATAAACAATCATAGTACTGATTGTATGCAATAATTTTTTATTTATTTATTTATTTATTTACTTACGTCTTTTTTTTGACCAAAATAAAGGGTCTCCTTGTAGCCCCAGCTGGCCTGGAGCTCACTATGTAGACCAGGCTGCCTCAAACTCACAGAGATACGCCTGCCTCTGCCTCCCAAGTGCTAGGATTAAAGGCATGCACCACCATGCTCAGCATATGCAATAACTTTAAAGGGTAGGTACTCATTTCAATGTTTTTCAGTTGAGACAATTGCAGTTTGGAGAGAATATGACTTACCAAAGTCACTCTTAGTGTGTGGTGTTGATGCTTGCCCTCCTTAGAAATTCACTGAGTTCTTACTATATGCAGGTCTGGCCTGGCTCCTGGGACACTGTAGCAGAGAAGACAGCTGGAACAGGAGACCAAGATGAAGATTGAGAAAGAACCTGATTCTTCCTGTTTTCAACCCCCCACCCGCCGCCCTCCCCTCAGCACTTTCCTGCACTTTCTGGACCTCTGCGTATACTGTTTTGGTGAGAGATTTGGCTGACAGAAAGAGAGACTAAAGGAAACTCGATATGCAGTGTTCCCCTCCCTGCCCTTCAACCCTAACTATACATTTGCTATGTATAGCATAGAAGTTTGCTGGGTGGTTGCCATAGAGACCACATAATGCCTTCTAGAGAGTCCGGGCTCTGAGAAAAGGCAGAATAGAGAGGATTTTTCTCCTCTCTCCCTCCCTCCCTCCCCCCCTCCCCCTCCCAACAGGGTCCCCCTCCCTCCTTTTTTCTTTCCACCTTCCCCCCTCTCTCCTTCCTTCCTTGTTCCTTTTTTCCACCTTTCTTTCTGTACTTTTGGTACGTGTGGGTGGTATTGGCCTGTGACCGTATTTCTGGGCTGATGGGCAGGATTAAGTAGCAGACAGCACTGAGAAGGAGTGGTGTGTACTCCTTGCATGGACAAGAGGGGTGGCACAGGGGAAATGGTAGCCTTGGATAGAGCAGATCTGGGGGACACAAAAAAACTGAATGATTCAGTTCTTAGATATTGCAGAGGTGTGGGGTCTTGCTGCCAGAAGACCATAGGAAAATGAGGTGAGGGGGATTGGTTTAATGCCAGGCACGTGACAGAGGGTACAACAGACTCCATGGGAGTATGAAGTATGGGAGACAGATGTCCAGGCTGCAGGAAAGATGGAGAATGTTCCAGGTTGGCAGCATGGGAGGGGAGGGGTGAACAAGCCTCGACTGTTTTGGGGTGGCTGGCCAGCTGTGGTAGGTATGAGAAGGGATGTGGGAGAAGGAAGTAGATGGATCCTGTGGGTCCAGGTCAGCAAGTCAGCAGAGCAGGCCTCGCCTTTTTTTGCTGATACATATCAGCAAATCAGAGTAGTTGTTCTAGTTAGCTTACAATTGCTGTGACAAAACACTGCAACCAACACCAACTTGGGGAGGAAGGGGTTTATTCGGCTTATATCTCCTGGGTCACAGTTCATCATGAGGGAGCCCAAGGTAGGAACTCAGGACAGAAACCTGGGGGCAGGAGCTGAAGCGCAGGCCATGAGGAGCCCTGCTTACTGGCTTGCTTCTGGGCCTTGCTGAGCCTGCTCTTTTATCCAACACAGGCCCACCTGCCCGGGGTGGCACCACCCACAGTGGGCTGGGCTCATCCACATCACAGAACAATCAAGAAAATGCCCTGCAGACATGGCCACAGGCCAGTTCAATGGAGGCAATTACCCAATTGAGGCTCCCTCAACCCAGGTGTGTCAAGTTGACACTAAAGCTATCCAGGATAGTAGTTGACTCAGGACCAGGATGAAATCTCGGGAGAGCTGTTGGAAGGTGGGTATTAGGGCAGGTTAACCTACTGTGACAGTTGCAAAAGTCTGAGAACAGCAGTTTAAGGGAGGAAAGTTTAATCTGGCTCACAGTTCAGGGCTTTCCATCCAGGGCTGGTTGACAGCTTGCTTTTGTTCCTGTGGTGAGGCAGCACATTAGAGCAAGAAGCGTGTGACAGAACCGAGCTTTTCACCATGGGGCAGCTCAGCAGTAGAGAAAGAGGGGGGCCAGGATCCCAGATTTCCCCTCAAGGGCACACCCGTGTCTTGGCTTCTTCCCACTAGGATCCACAGTCTAAAGTTTGTATCGCCTCCTACCAGTGTCACAGGCTCTCAACCAAGGCTCTCAGCACATGGCCTTTGGGAACACTTGAGAGCCACTGAGTGGGGCTCACCGTTGCTTCACTGTGTCTGGATTGCTCAGGTGGAGAACTCCTAGGTGTTATGAAACAGTCTGACGGACCTTAAAAAACAATCGTAAAGAGCATTACTGCTCTTCCAGAGGACCCAAGTTCAGTCCCCAACACCCACATGGTGTTATGAAACAGTCTGATGGACCTTAAAAAACAATCGTAAAGAGCATTACTGCTCTTCCAGAGGACCCAAGTTCAGTCCCCAACACCCACATGGTAACGGACAACCATCTGACACTCCGTTCCAGGGGAACCAATGGCCTCTTCTGGCATGAGCATTGCACAACATGAGTACACTTACATATATGCAGGCAAAACACTCATATATATATATAAACAAATTAATTCTTAAAAACAAGGATTGAGGGAGGAGACTGGGGTTCTATTGCTTGCAAGTCAGGTAGCATGGACAAGTCACCTGACCTTGTGGAGGTGCTCCTTGTTCCCCAGTGGACCTCAGCATTTAGAGCCCTAGTCCAGTGGGCAGTCTGGACTCTGTCAGAATGGTCTGCTTACTAGCCTCATTCACTGTCCAGCCAGCAGTGAGTTTGTGGGCTTCAGGGTAAGATCAGGTTCAAGTCTTGGCTTTCCCATCTCCTAGCTGTACACCTGAGGCTACTAAGCAAGACTCTTCTCAGCTATCAAATGAGAATAATGAAGTCTGCTTCGTGGGTCAGTGCCTGGAATAGGAAAGACTTGCCACTTCTCTGCTTCCCGTAGCATTCCTCAGAAGAGTGCTGCTGGCATGGGGGAGTCTGGGCTCTTCTTCCTAGTGCTGAACTCTGTTACTCAATGTCAGGAAGATTAGCATTCTTGGTACCTACCCACTGTTCACCAGTAGTGGCTTTGTGATGGTCCCCAAATGCTCCTGTACATTTTCACTGTCCCCTGAGGACAGTCTAGCTGATTCTAAGGTACTTTTATTGAGTGCCAGCCATCTACAAGGAGGGATGCTGGGTTTGCCCTTGAAGGAGGCTGTGTGTCTGGAGGAAGAACAGTGACCTCGGGAGGCAGGAAAGCAGGCTTTCTGACTGTGTTCTCACAAATCACTAGGCATTCTTCTGGGTTTCTGCATGGACATCTATGTGTCAGCCTATGGCCCTGTTTTTGAGTGAACCAACCGGGGAGAGAGGAAGGTCTATGGGAGTTCTGAGGAGGAAGAGGTCCAATTTGGAGACTCAAGGAGGGTGATTTAGTAGCATTTGAGCTGGCTTTCAAAGTTGAATGAGTTAGGTTTGAGATGACAGCAGCAGCTTCTATTCAAAGACTGATTTGTATGACAGACAGACTGGTTTGTGTGACAGACTCAGCTCTATGTGTGTCACCATATGGGCCTTGCAAAGCTCATATATTATCGCTTTTGTTATATAGATGAGGCGCTTGAACAACTTTCTCAAGGCCATGGTGAGATGCTGATTCAGTCAGTTAGTTATTGCTGCATAGCAAATCACCCCAGATCTGTTTGTTATAGGAAATACCATTATTTCTACTATATTCTTTTGGTCAAAGCAGCATGCAAGTCCAGCTCAGATTCCTGGGGCAGGGAGGTAGACTCCAGTTTTGATGGGAACAGCTGCAAAGTCTCGTCACAGTTGATGCTGACACAGTGATGCATGCAGGCCTGTGCTGTGCTTGCTCTCTGTCTAGTACCAAAGTGAGACTGGATCTATGGTCTAGCTGTCTCCAAGCTGTGTCCTTTCTAGTAGAGCTCATTTCTTCCAGGGAGGAGGATGGTTAGGATAGGGCAGAGTATGAGCAAAGGAAAGGAAGCAAGAAACCCAGAAAGTGTCTGGCAACACCACCTGGTTCATTGGGAATGATGGGTGGGGTCTGTGAATGACAAGAGGGGGCTGGGGGAGGCTCAGTCAGTCACTGGAGGCCTTGAATGTGGCACTGAGCCTACCGGACTTTGTTCTGTGAGAAGCCACAGGGTTTTTTTTTTTTTTAAAGTCAAACTTACAGTATCATAATGTACACACATGAAAGTTATCCTTTCTCAGGCATATAATTTATGAGGTTTTAAAAAATTTATTAGTTTAAAATTTTCAACTATGTATATATGTGTGTATCTGAGAGTGGGTTTGTGCATGTGAATGTGGTGCCTACAGAGGCCAGAAGAGGAGGGCGTCCGATCCCCTGGAGCTGGAGTTACAGGCAGCTGTGAGCCACCTGACCTGGGTGCTGGGCTTGAAGTGGCATACCCACTTAACCACCGAACCATCTCTCCAGACCATAATTTTATTTGTGTGTGTGGGTTTGTATGTATGTGCACATGTGTGGGCCAGAGGACACTCTCAAGTATCATTTTTCAGGAACACTATCTGCTTTATTTTTGGAATGGGGTCTTGCATTGGTCTGGAGTTCACCCATTAGGCTAAACTGGCTGGCCAGCCAGGCCCAAAGATCTGCCTGTCTCCATGTCCGCAGTGCTGGGATTACATGTGCACACCGCCACACCCTGCCGTTTACATGGATGCTGGGGATCAAATTCAAGTCTTTGTGCTTGTTTGGCAGGCACTTTAGCAACTGAGTCATCTACCCAACCTCCAATTTATGGGTTTTGACAGGTGCATATAGTATAATCAGGAGCATATAGTGTGTCAACCTACTGCTCCCATCAACTGATGTGATTGCTGCCCCTAGAGTGTTGCTTTTTCCAGAATGTCATGCAGACAGAATCATCCATGTGGGGGAACATCTTTCCCTTTCATTTTACACAGTGCTCTTGAGATCACCTATGATGGGACGTGTAGAGGTAGCTTGTTCAGTTGATGCTGAGTTGTGTCCCAGTGAGGGGATAGGCTGCAGTTTGTTTACATCTCGGCTTTTTTTTTTTTTTTTTTCCTTTTTGGTATTTTTGAGACAGGGTCTCCCTGTAGCCCCAGCTGACCTGGAACTCAGGCCAGGCTGCCCTTGAACTCAGATATCTACCTGCCTCTGCCTCCTGAGTGCTGGGACTAAAGGCATGCGCCACCACACCTGGCTCATCTCAGCTTTTATTAAAGCTGCTGTAAAGAACTGTACATAGCTCTCTGTATAAACATGTTTTCTTTTCTTTCTGTCATTTGGTAAATGTACATATAGTATTATAAGAAACTGCCAAAGTACTTGACAATGGTAGTAGTAGTTTGTATTCACATCAGCAATGTGTGAAGTGTCTAATCACTTGGTACCCTTGTTTTCTTTGTGTGTGTGTGGTGCTGGGGATGGAACCCGGGCCTTGTGCATGCTAGGCACGCACTTGACCGCTGAGCTACATCCCAGCCCCATTGCATCCTTGTCCTCTGTGGGGGGGGGTGTCTTTTTTCGAATTTTTGCCGTTCTAATAGTGTTTCATTATGGTTTGAATTTGCATTTTTTATGACAGGATGTTGAACATTTTTTCATGTCTCCACTGAAGTATTTTCAAATCTTTTACACATTTTAAAGAATGGATTGCTTATTTTCTTCTATCTTGAGAATTCTTTGCATTTATAAGCATGTCTTTTCTCAGATATTAATTTATTTATACATCCAAATAAATGTTTGTAAATATTTTCTTCCAGATGCTCAGAGAGATTTTAACAGGAAGTAACTCTTATGTTTTAGAAATTGCTTTATGGCATTTGGGGTAGGATAACAGAGTGGGGAGGGATAGAGGCAGTCTCAAGGTGCAGAAGACAGATGAGGCTCTAGAAAGGAGTCTTGGGAAAGAAGACACAGAGACCCATGGAGTGGCAGGAGAAGCCTTCTTTACTCCTGTGAGCCCTCCCTCCCATCTTCCTTGACTAATATTTGTGGAGTACCCACCAAGTGCTGTGTCATTATTGAGGTATTGGAAAAACACCATGCAGCAACCCTTGACTTGCCTTCAGGGAGATCTCACCTTGGTGGGAAAGACAGACAGTAACTGAGTGCATAAAGCATGTGGCAATGGCTGCTGGGTGCCATTGGTCACATTACCAGGGTTCTCGAAGGTTCATCTTCAGTGGGCTGGAGAGATGGCTCAGTGGTTAAGAGCACTGGCTGCTCTTGCAGAGGACCTCGGTTCAAATCCCAACATCCACATGGCAGCTAACAACCATCCATAACTCCAGTTCCAGGGAATCCAACATCCTCTTCTGACCTCCATGGGCATTGCACGACATGAGTACACTTACATACATGCAGGCAATACACTGACACACATAAAATAAAAATAATAAATAAAATATTTTTTAAAAAGAATGTCACCTTCAACAGGAAGACCCTGTCTCAAAAAACCAACCAACCAACCAACCAACCAACCACCCACCTACCCTAAAATTGCCTGAGTATGGTAGTAGTACATGCCTTTAATTGACACTCAGGCAAAGGTAGGCAGATCTCTGTGAGTTCCAGGCCAGCCAGGACTGTATAGTGAGACCCTTTCTCAGAGGGAGAAAAAAGAATGCCATCTTCCAAGTTGCTTGCAGGTGGGGAGTGGTCCATCCTGGGTCAGAATCCAAATAATGGGAGGAGCATGGGTCTGAGGTCGGGAACTCAGGAGTTCTGTGCTTGAGTTCTGGCCCTGACCCTGGCCTTTGGTGACCTCACACTAGCTCCTTCCTCTCTCTGGCCCTGGATCTCCTTCCCAGGGAGATCTTTCAGTTGCTGTGGTTTTGTTTGTTTAGTTGGTTTTGAGAAAAGGGTTCACTCTGTAACCCAAGCCATGCCTGAAGCTTACTATGTAGCCCAGGCTGGCTAATGGTGATCCTCCTACCTTAGCTTTCCAAGTGAGATTCCAGGCATGAATCAGCACCCATGGGTGTTTTTTCTTCTTTTTTGGGACAGGGTCCCACATAGCTCATACTGTCTTCAAACTCACTATGTAGCTAAGATTGGCCTTTGCCTTGATTTCCTAATCTTCTTGTCACTACATCCCACGTGTTAGGATTATAGACATATACCATCATGCCATGGTTTGTGTGTGTGTGTGTCTGTGTGTGTGTGTGTGTGTGTGTGTGTGTGCGTGTGTATGTGTATGTGTGTGTGGTATGCGGGTGTGGTACACATGTGTGTGGATGTGCATGTACATGTGTACATATATGTGTGCTACCTTATTAAGGCAGGGTCTCTCACCGAGCTTACCACTTCTGGCTAGTCTAGCTAGCCTTCTTATGGTTTTTTTCTTCTTGAATTTCTTACAAGTCATTGTGGATGCTCTGATAAACCAAAATAGGTGTGAGAGATCTTCCATTTGTTATAAAAAGCCTGGAGGTCACCAATCTTGCCCTCTTACCCAAGGTAGGATTCCCTATGAAGCACAGCTGGCTGACAGGTCCCTTTTCATCTCCCGTGGGCACCTCCAGAGATGGGGAATGCACTCCTTGCAAGGGATCATGACCATTCTTTTCTGTCTCTCTCTCTTTTTTTTTTTCCCCAAGGGAACAGATCACGCCATTTACGAAGGCCAAGTGCCCTCCAACTGTGGATTACAATTCAGATCCTAGTCCTTAAAGCCACATGGGACGGGCGGCCTGTGGTGACCAGAGGGTCCAAAGCCTGAAGATACATCTTGGGATGGGAGGATGGGAATGGATAGGGAACTTGGAAAGTGCTTAAGGGAAGGGAGAGGTGAGGAGGGGTCATCTTTGCTGGAGCCCTGTGCCTGAGGTCACAGAGTCTGGGGCTGGGGCCAGATATCTTTTGTTATAAGAGATCCATTGTCCTGAGTATTTCAGTCAGCTGGTGACATGATAAATGAGCCAGACAACAGATGGATGGAAGAGGAGAATGTGGGTGACTCCTTGGAACCCTTTCCATGGAAAAACTAGAGTCTGGGCACCCTACCCATTGCTGTCCCAGAGAGAGAGGACAGAGTAGCATGTTGTGCACAGCAGTCCAGACCCCTACAGGAACACCCTACCTCCATACTAGGATGCTCCTGGAAGCTCTCAGCAGGGCTTGATGCTAAGAGGAGACTGCAGACCTCCAGGCAGTGTCCAGCCATTGGGAACAGCCTCTGTACCCCAGTCAATGCTATAGGCACCCCAGTGTATTCAGAAGGTCTGTGGGGATGAGTGACAACATCCTGCGATGCTTCCCTCACTGGTTATGTCAGCAAGGGCTGGTATGATAGCGAGGGCTCTGTTGTTTCCAGAAAAGAGGAGGCTGGGACCCAAAGACTCAGCCACAAAACTCACAACAGTAAAAAGTCTTTCGCTTTCTTCAGAGCGGGTCTTACCTCGGCAGCCACTTCCTCACTCGTGACAAATGGCCGTTATCTTTATTTATGGATATCAAAATCATCTATCTTAGAAAACAAAAAAACAACAACACTGGATCTTCAAAAAAGATTTGAAAAGTCAATTTAGCAAGGTAACAGGAAAAGGAAGTAAGCCGACTTCCCACGGACTAGCAACATGTCATCACAAAGTGGAAGTCTAAAATGCCATTTGCAATAACATTAAAACAATGAGATGCTTAGGTATACATTTGACAAAAGATGTACAAGATCTGAACACTGAAGCTGGTAAAACAATGCTGAGACTTAAAGAAGGCATAAAGGGGATGTGGGCCATCCTCAGTGGGGGAAAATAGCCTTTTCATTAAGTGTCATTGGAACTAGTGTATATCAATGTGCAAAAGAGCGAACTGTGGTAACTGACTTCTCGCATGTATAAAAATCAATTCAAAATGGAAATCTGTGATAATCAAATACAATTGATATTTGGCTTTTGCCCCATTTATGGCACACATCTAAAATCTTCCAAATCTCCCAAGTGGCATCTTTTGTGTCCTTTGGGGTGGCCGATGGTCCCCAGATAGCTTTAAGGTGGGGACTGATCACCCGGAAGAGTGAGGCCTGAGAGGAGGTTTGGAACTTTCAGTTGCACCTACCTCTGAGGAGGAGGAGAGATGCTGAAATTTGATTTGATCCCTAATTAATTAAATCTAAAGTTGATTTGATCCTGAGTGTTTGGATTAAAGACATGTGCGCCCATACCTGGCATAGTATTTCCCTTTAAAAGAGATGGCTCATATAGGTTTTATTTTTTTAATAGGCTGCCCAATACTTATAAGGAAATAGCAGGTATTTTCCAAAAGGGGCAAATCTTAGATTTAAAAGAACTAATGAGAATGTCATTGTCTAAGTAAGCTGAAAAGCTAGTTTAGTTAATTTTGGCAATTAATGTCACTTGTTTCTTTAACTGCCAACCCAGAAGACTGATAATCACAGGTATAAAGAAAATTTGGGGGACTGGAGAGATGGCTCAGCGGATAACAGCACTGGCTGCTCTTGTAGAAGACCCAGGTTCGATTTCCAGCACCAACATGGCAGCTAACAACCATCTATAATTCCAATTTCGAGGAATCTGACTCCTTCTTCTGGCCTCTGCGGGCATTGCACAACATGGGACCCCTTACATACATGTAGGCAAAACACTCATACACATAAAATAAATAAATTTAAAGAAAATTGCAGGGACATGGCGTCCTGACCTCCGCCTCCCCCTTGTAAGAGCTTGGTATTTCCTGGAATTGTTTATCACAAGGACTTTCTCCTGATTCTGAGAAAAGGTACACCTGACCCAAAAACTAACCTTACAGTCAGGTGATCCCAATTATCATGTGTCCTGACTCCAACTCCTCTACTGAAAAGTATTTAAACCCTTGTCTCAAACAATAAAAGGCAGTCGAAGTCCTTCCTCCCACTCCATGATGGTGTGATAGTTTGTTCAATCCTGACGCCCTCTGCCCAGAATACTCGGAGCTTGACGTGCTGGCGCAGCAAGTGGAGGTCCCACCGAGATCTGAGGAAAGGAGGTAAGCGGACAGGGTCGTCCTTGGCCGGTGAGGATGTATTGGGGATAATATTTAAGAATATTTGCAAATATGGGAAATCTGGAAGGGATGAGGACAAGGTTCCCTGGAAGGGATGAGGACAAGGTTCCCTGGAAGGGATGAGGACAAGGTTCCCTGGAAGGGATGAGGACAAGGTTCCCTGGAAGGGATGAGGACAAGGTTCCCTGGAAGGGATGAGGACAAGGTTCCCTGGAAGGGATAGAGGTTAAGGCTCCCTAAAAGGGACGAGGTGAAGCAATTCAAAGAAAATGGGTAATGGCGGCTCGAAAGCGAAAGTGCACACTGCGTTAGTGCAGCTCTTAGGACGTGGCAGGATCAAGATAAAGGCTGAGACGGTAGAAAAATTCTTGAATACCATCGCAGCAGAGGTCCCGTGGTTTCTTGAGGAAGGGTCTGTAGATGTTGCCTCTTGGGAGCGATCAGGAAAAGAGTTATCAGATTAAAAGAATTTTGGAGAATATGGGAGACGTACAGAGTAAGCAAGAACTTAAGGATATTTGAGAATAAGCAAGAACTTAAGAATATTTGGAAACGTACAGAGTAAGCATGAGCTTAAGAATATTTGAGAATATGGGAAACGTATAAAGTAAGCATGAACTGTATTATCAGATTAAAAGAGTTTTGGAAGAACAAGGATCAGATTAAGAGTTTTGGAGGAACAAGAAATTGAAAAACTGTATCTTTGAAATTATAAACCTAAAACTTTGTTGAAATTCATTAAGGTGTATCCACAATACTTAACACCCAGTGATTGGCAACAGTTGTGTAGAGCAGTATTGTCAGGAGGTGATTATCTTTTATGGAGAGGAGAGTTCCAAGAGCAGGCTCTACAGTGGCCTGCCTTAATGCTCAGGCCGGATTGGCTCAAAGAGATCTAGACATGCTAACAGGAGCAGGAGCCTATGCAGGGGTGGGGGCCCAAATATTATACGATCCAGCTGTATATGCTCAAGTGGCAGCTTGTGCTGTAAAGGCCTGGAAGAGCTTGCCTAATAAAGCAGCTGGGGATCAGCTTTCTAAAGTGATACAAGGACCCTCTGAACTGTTTCAAGATTTTGTTGAGAGGTCACGCAAGCTATGCCCATTATTAAACAATTAGCTTATGAAAATGCAAACCGGTATTGCAAAGAAGTACTTAGAGCCCAGAGGCACAAAAGCCTAAATGATTACATCAGATTGTGTAAAGATGTGGATGTGCATTATATACAGGGACAAGTGATTGCAGCTGCGTTGCGCCCGTCAAAAGGTAGACTGTCAACAGGCAGCAGAGGGGATCGTCATTGCTTTAGTTGTGGAAGATCCGATCATTTCCACAAAGATTGTCCCCTGTTGCATAATGATAAAGAGAGGGCGCCGGGGCTCTGTCCTAGATGCAAAAAAGGAATACATTGGGCCAATAACTGTCGCTCTAAATTTGATAATATGGGCAATCTTTTACTGGCATCTAACAATCAGGGAAACTGGCAGAGGGCCCCACTCCAGGGCGCCAGAACCTCAGTGTATGGAGCAATGACACCTGCCAGAGAGACTCATGGCAGCGGCAGAATTCGTTTTATTCCTCAAACCAACCCCTTCATGTCTCCGACCTCATTAGAGGTACTCCAGGAAGCACAGGATTGGACCTCTGTACCACTGCCAGAGAAGTGTTAACGCCACAAATGGGGGTTCAAGCTCTACCTACAGGTATCTATGGTCCACTCCCCAGACATTCCTTAGGTTTAATTTTGGGTAGAAGCAGTACAATCTTAAAGGGCATCCAGATTCATCCTGGAGTTATAGACTCAGACTATGAGGGAGAATTAAAAGTGATGATCTCTACAAAACATGGGGTTACAATCATTTCACAAGGAGAAAGGATTGCACAACTAATACTAATCCCCCAATTTCTCACTAACAATAGGTGCATGAAAAGATCTAGAGGAAATGGTGGATTCGGCAGTACAGGACCAGGAGTGTTTTGGGTTGCTTCCATGTCAAATAGACCTACTTTAGAGTTGAATATAGAAGGGAAAAATTTTATTGGTATATTGGACACAGGAGCTGATGTGTCAGTAATGTCCCTTGATTCTTGGCCTGCATCCTGGGCCTTGGAGCAGGGAAGGGCACAACTCCAAGGTATTGGCTGTGCACTACCGAGCAAAAGCCTTAAAATTTTAAAATGGAAGGATGCCGAGGGCAATAAAGGATACTTTCAACCCTATGTTTTACAGGGACTCCCTGTAAACTTATGGGGCAGGGATTTATTAAATGAAATGGGAGTAGTTCTTACCACACAAAGTCAGGCTAAAAAGGAAAACAACCCAGAATATAAGATAATGAGAAATCTTGGTAGGAGTAAAAGTCGTGGACTTGGAATAAACAAAAAGGGGAGAGTTAACCCTGTATCTCCAGAGGAATAGATTGTTAGATATCCTGGAAATCAATGAGATTTGGGCCTTTTTTAATACAGGTCACTGTTCCTCCACCTGCAGCTATTCCCATCCAACGGAAATCTAATGATCCTGTTTGGGTTGAACAGTGGACCTTAACCAAAGAAAAATTGCAGGCAGCACATGCCCTAGTGGAGGAACAGCGGCTTGCTGGACATGTTGTTCCTTCCACCTCCCCATGGAACACACCTATATTTGTTATAAAAAAGAAGTCAGGAAAAT